AATCGTGCATAGCTGTGAAATTTTTTTTCTGGATATTTCATGAGTAAAGGAAGAACTTAAACTCTTTCCGACAGCCTTGTGCCAGAAACTTCCGAAACACTGATTAGTTTCACAGTACTCTCTTACTGCTTTTAATTTATCAAGTAGAATTGCAAAAATCTTCCGAAACACTGGCTAATTTCACTGTTTTCTCTTGTTGCTTTCAATTTAACAAGTAGAATTCTTAATTTTACAACTTTGACTTAACCGGATATCCTTACCCAAAGTAGTATTATTTCAACTTTGAAATACACTTCTTTTCCCGAAAGTTTTATCTGAATTTCCTTAATTCCTCAGATACAATTTGTATAGCAATCTTCAAACTGCACGAATCAACAAAAATAGCGATAACAAACGAAAAGAGATTGAAGTAACCTCACAAAATTTCCTTCAAAGAAGTAATGTCAGCTACAAGGCGTGCTTATCGCATTTTACATACTTAAAAAATATTACTTAAAAAATATTACTTAAAAAACATTCACGAGTATTAAAAACGATGTGAATTACACATTTTTGAAGCTTTAAGGCAAACTTCGTATAAATCTCCTAAAATGGTAAAGAAATCAATTTTCCCGTAAAGTTACATCGGGTATAGCTCCAAATAGCACTGGTGATTTAATTCCTTATTTAACTCCCATGAGTAACATAGACGGAATTTCTCATTATAATATCAATAAAATATCAAGCACGCAAGTGATGAGAATAGAGAATTTTCGAGCAGACAGTAAGGAGAATTCTGACCACTGAGATCTTTGTAGTGAAGGGGTCAGTTACAGTTAAACCCCAGGGCTAGATAATTTTGCTCCGTTACCGCTTGTTCCGCCCACGAATCGTGAACAATTATCATGTTTTCAAGGTAGCTCCATAGGGTATTTGCTCAATGTTGGCGCGCGCGCCTTTTCCTAAAAAAAATTTATGTTTTTCAAAACGATTTTCGTTATTAGGCTAAGGCTCCAGGTAGGGATGCGCTAGCCAGCGATAATTTGGCTTTGTCTTTGATTTTCTTTAGTTTTCTTCTGGTGAAATCTCTCAAAATTTTCACAATTTTTGAAAATTGTCCTGCCGATCGTTTAAAAGTCGAAAAAAATTGGGTTCACAAAGGCACTTCTTCCCGCTATTTTCAATTTTGTGTTTTCTTCCTCTATCTCAAATTTGGTCTTATGAATTTTTTTTTTAATCAACAAGCATTAGGAAGGATAATATTGAATATTACGGGTGCAGTTGCTGGAAATCCTAGATTCAATCAGATAGAAACTGTAACACGTTAAACTGTTTTTTCGCACACCTTTTCAGATAACAATCGTGCGATTGTATCGAGTCGCCATGTTTGTTTTGCATGTTGACACTTTTCAAGCTCGTGCTTTGTTCGCACCCAGATCTCGCGCGGTCAAAAAACCCTGTGGAGCTACCTTATCGCTAACGCAAATATGGATGTTTCAGGCATAAACATAATTATTGCTGACATAAATTACGTAGTGTCCAGTTTTTTAAATAACAGAAAGCTACTAAGGAAGATTTCTAAGCGACATTGATGATGATGCCTTAAGCAAACAACTTTGAGAATAATGCAAATGTGATAAAAAACGAACGATTTTTTTGGATAGCTGTTTTTTTGTTTGCCCTGTAAATGTCACTTTCAATCAAAGAAAACACATTTAAACGAAAAGAAAAATTTACAAAGGCCCGTCTTTAAATTAATATAAGTAAGGCGCAAATGGCTTTTTTACTACGAACTATTCAAAAGCTGACATGTTATTAATACCACTTCCCTTTGACAAAAATGGCAGCTGCGACATGTGCGAATCATAGTGTAATAATAGAGTGGATTTTAATTAAGAAGAGCAAATAAGAAATAAAATGTAGTTTAATCTGACAAACCCTCAAATACGTGAAAACTTTGATTCGTTTTACATCGTTGAATAATAAGAAATTCCCAAGCCTGCGGTATCCTTTTCCTCAACTGGTATTGCTTCTTGTTTACAAGTTAAAGGGAAGGGTAACAATTCGAAAGGTAAGACATTGTTTCTCGTTGATCATAAAGACTGAGAAATCGAGTAACTTTCATCAGAAATGTATCATTCTTTTCGAGAATCCAATCACATACAGGTTTTCTGACGGAAAGATTTCTTACAATCAGCTGGTTTTCTGACGGAAAGATTTCTTACAATCAGCTTTCAATCCAAATTACACGGTTCAAGATAATTTCATTTCATTTCCGTTTCATAATATCAATATCGATATTTCGCATCTACAATCATCCGGGTTAACGTTCATCTCTTCGCAATCTCTAAAACGCATTTGATCCTTCACACAACACCGAACTGTGACCAGTTCAAAACCGCACGAAAGAAAAGGCAACGTTAAACTAACAAGAGATTTAAAATTTCCATAATTATTTTGATACCTTGCCGTAAATTGAGTAAAAACAACATAAACTTCAACACTTGAAACTAC